CGCTGCTCCCCGCTGCCGCCTTCCGCAGGAAGCGGGGGGTCGTGGCACCGGTGCGAGGTGGAGCAGCGTAGTCCTTCCGGTTTTTTTGGCTCGTGGCTTTATCTCCTATCCTCGCGTGCTTGTTCTCCTCAGTGGAGCCCGCTTGGAAAAGAAAAGGATAATCTTTCAGCTGTGAAACCTCTCCTGTTTTCCTTCTGCCTCATACAGGTCTGTTGCTGACTTTGCTTGATCGTCCAAGTGAGAGATCATCGGAGCATCCCTAATCAGAAGCCTTTAAACCCGGTAATCCAGAACTCTTCTTAAACATAAGCTGCTGTTTCTAACTCAGTCTCGTGTAATATTCCTAACGGTCCTTTCCATTCTTTAGTTCCCACTTTTTGGTTGTTGCCACGGTGACGGTAAGCGGAAGGGGTTGGATAACTGCGCGGATAGCTCCACGAAGGATAATAAAAGCGGGCAGCAGACCTTACGCCCCTGGTGCGACCATTCTGGGTGCTTGGGGGCAGAGGGCAGTGGGTGACAGCAGGCGGCAGGGCAGCCCTGCCCTCCCCAGACAGCTTCTCCAGCTCCCAGCGTTGGAGACAGACAGCTCGGCTGGGGGGCCCACGGCCTGGAGGGCCCTACAGGGCATCTCATAGGTTCTTCTGAGAGTACTGGGAGGGGGACACGATGCTTTGTCGTATTTGAAATGCTCAGTTTTACTGCTGTCTGGAAACTACTTCCCTGGTTTAGACTCTCGTCGTGGGTATTGCACTGATACAACTCTGTCCAAGGCACTTCCCCTGCTGGCTCCCAGATGGGGGTGTAACGGAGGGAAAAATCCCCCCAGACAGATGTTGCTTTATGGCAGTGCATACTGTTGGGGGAATTGCAGTGAAGACAGGGTTTGTCTGCTTCATTTTGTATCAAGGGAGCTTACTTCCAGCACACAGAGAACTGATACGATTGGCAAAATGGTATTTTGGGAATAGCTAAAGGCTGCCACTCAAGATAGGCACCTGAGCGCTATCCATATGCCGGCCTGGGTAACGGGGAGTCATGTCATCTTTCTCCCGATTTGAAACCCGAGCTGCTCCTACGCTGTAGGCTTGGCAGTGAAGATACTCCTAGTTTAGGGAGGAGATGGTGAATGGTAACCCAGGCAGGAGTATGGGGACTTACCGTGTTACCAGGGGCTGTAATCAGACCTGGATTCACTCCTACTCTGCACTAGATCAGTCAGAGCTAGAACAATTATCCTCTCTCTGCTCCTGCTTCACTTCTGCCATCCCTGAAGGCGTGCTCAGGTGACACGTGTAGAAGACCCCTTCTGAACTTTCTGGAGGCCTGCAGAGGCTTGCCTTCCTTCACTGCAAGCATAACGAGTCTGCAGATTTCTACCACACCTTCTACACGCAGGCAAACACAAGACGTGGCTTAAAGAATGAAAAGAAAAATTAAAGTTCTAAAGTTCCCGAATTTATTTAGGATTTTGGAGCTTGTTTCATGTTGTGATTCTGGTTTTCCTTTTTTACTCTCATGTCATGATACTGCCACAGTGCAGCTGTGCAACAGTAAAATGCCATAGTCCTTCACCTTGTGGTTCTGGGGCCTGGGTGGCTTGGTTGGTTGGTTTTATTTTTAAAAATAATCTGTAATAACCTCCAGCTGCTTCCGTTCCACTTCTCCTGTCGCGGGTGTTGCGTTGCTGTCCAGTCTGCTGGCTTTATTTATTTATTAAAACAAAACCAAAAAAAAGGCAGGACAGCACGTGCCTTGTGGAAGATTAGTTAGGGATTAGCATGTAGGTGACATGAGGAGGGCGATGAGTTGCCAGTATCGCTTTGAGGTGCGGTGTTTCTCTCCTGCGTTCCCAAGAGAGGCTCCCGGCAATGATGTCCACAGCCAACAGTACGGTATTTGAACTAACGTTTACCTCTTTCTGCCCTTCACAGCGAGGGTGGAAAACGGAAAAGAACCTCGGGATGTCTGTCACTCAGCAGGGGACAGCAGCGCTGCGTAAAGCAAAGAAAATCACGGTGAAAACGTGCCTCGATAACCCCTTTGTTTTTCAGTGGAAAACCATAGAAGGAGAAGATATGCATTTTATACTGCAGACGTTGGAAGAAAGGATTAAACATGTTGGTCTGAAAAAGATTGAGACTCCAAGAAAGAAAAAACGTTGCCTTTCAAAAAAACAAATGGAAAGGAAGTGCGATGCTGGCACCAAAGTACTCCCTAAAGAAGAGGAGACGGAAGGCCATCAACAGAACCTGGGATGGACTGACATCAGTATCCGGAGACAGCTCGCTATTGGAGTTAACGAAGTTACGAAAGCCTTGGAAAAGGACGACCTGCTGCTCTTGCTGGTGTGCAAGTCTGCCAAGCCGGCCATGGTCACGTCGCAACTCATCCAGCTGAGCGCGAGCCGTGCCACGCCGGCTGGCCAGGTTCCCCGTCTCAGCGAGACGGTCGCCCCGCTCCTTGGCTTAACATCTGTTTTGGCACTAGGCTTTAAAAAGCAGTCCGATACGTTTACTGAAGCAATGGAAGCAATCATTCCAAAGATCCCAGCTTTGGAAGTGCCGTGGTGTCAGTTCAGAACTGCAGAATCGGTGGCTTGTGCATGTACAGATCCTGCAGAACATCCAGAACCCGAGCAGCTTGCAGAGGCACTGGGGGACGAGCTCACAAGGCAGAAGCGGAAGCGTACGGAAAGCAATCAGCTCGATCTTTCGAATGTAATTTTGCAGCCTTTGAAAATCAAGAAACTCGTTCCAAATCCAAACAAGGTAAAGAAACCTCCTCGCAAAAAGAAGAAAGCTTTTTCAGCGTAACTGGTTTCCGTTCGGGTCTTTGCACCAGACTGACTTTTCCACTGCGGCATGGAGTTCAGCTGTAACCGAGCCGTTTGTTCGGCTCTGTGGTGCAAGGCACTCGAACACGGGGTGAGCTTCAGGCTGCGTTCAGCTGAGGTCCTTTCTGCTTTAATAAAGAACCTTGCTCCAACCGGCGTGCGAGCCTTTACCTGGGGGCATTCCGCTTGCAGCTGGAGATCAGTTACATTACGTCGGCATGTCCATTACCAGTTTTAAGGGATTACTGCAGAGCACTCAGCGAGCTTTGTGTTCTCACAGACGAACACACGTCGAGTAAAACAGGTTGAAGTAGAGTTACTCAATAGCAGAAGTGAGCGTGCATTTAAAGCAAGGTCCACGCCAGCATTAACTCTTAAAGCTGGTTCGGTGCTTGTTTGAAGTAAAGGGCTGTAACAGCGCCGGCAGACTTCCCTTTTGCGCTTTGAGAGCTTGCTCTGCTGAACAATAAACTTCGTTCAGGAGTGTAGGCAGGCTTGGGTCCTGGTGCTTCCCGTGCTGAAGAAAACCCCGATTCTCAAATATGGAACGAACCCCAATTACTACTGCTGTATCTTGAACAAAAGACTTCCCTGGGCAAACTATTAACACACATCCCGTGAGAAAAGGTAAATAACTAAACTTAATTTGCTTCCCAAGTGGAGCCTAAAATTGATTTCCCAGGAAATGGAGCTAAACCATATGCTGCTGTATGTACAGTAGGTGACAGCCGTAAGCGCTACGTGGCGGAAACATCACCACCTAAGTTCGGTGTTGCCTTGGCTGTACTGAGGATGAGGAGCGGTTCCCCAGGGAGATGCATTGCAGGAAGGGGAGGGCATAGTGCTGCGATCCAGGCAATCAAACCCAACGGCCTAGGAATGGACTCAGCGGCAGTCAGTCAGGTACCGTAAGAGGAAGCGTGAATTACCTTAGCTGAGTTAGTCTGTTATTCCTTAAAGATGGAATTCACGTGTAGTTTTGAGAAGTTTGCTAATCCAGACCTCCTGTGCCATCAGATACCTACTCTGAATTTTGCATGGATTTAGAAGTGACTTTAGTTCCCGATACCCACTGTGGAGGGAGACGGCAGCAATGACTCTGCAGTCATGACGCTCCCTCAAGCCTAAACAAAACTAAGACAACTTAGTGCCAAAATTTTTGCCCTTCCTGAGGGTGGCAAGGAGAGGCGAGGTGAGTTGGTTTTTTTGCCTTAGTGTTCCTTCACACGTGCCCTTTGTTTGGACTTTCTGAATGCGCAGAAGGCACGCCAGTGTTAGCGCGCCGAATTCCAATCTTTGCCTTTAATCAGAGCAGGAGGATTAGCTTTGGTGGAGAACATAAGTGCATCAATTATCTTTCAAGCATTTCCCTGCCTGCCTGTAGTTCTCTTGCAGGATTTGTGTCCCCTCCACAGTGGGAAGTTACTCCGGGAAAGGCATTACGGACGTCGGGCAAGGTGGTGGAGCGAGCAGTAGTCTACACAACCATCGGTTAGGTTTTGAGGGGCCTCACCTGGTAGCTGCTCGCAGCAGGCCTGGCGCGCAGGCTGGGTCAGCTGGGAACAACGGGAGAGCCATTCCTATGAGCTGCTGGCAGCGGCACCCCCGCGGAGGACCATTTCTTAAGTACCTGCTTAGGGAAATAGAGCGAGTTGCCGCCGTTTCCACCTCCTGAAGAACTGCCCTGTTGCGTGGGTGCAGGCTGCGACACCTTCCGGATTCACAGCCTTTTGGTGCCGGTGGACTTCACAGAAGCACTTCGTGAGGAGCAGGCTAGGCAAAAGGCTCGAGCGCTCGACGGGGTGGAAGAGGCCGTCGGAATCACGCAGCTCTTGGGTTAACGTGCAGGTTCACAAAAGCTCTCCAGGAACTGCCCGACCCTCGGGCTTGGACACCTGCTTCCATCACGCGCTGCGTCCGGGTGGGCTTTCTCTCTCGGCTGCCGCAGGGGCACGACTCCGCCCTCTGTCCCTTCGGTTAGCGTGAGCCAGAAAACAAGACAGAAGTTCACCCCTTGGATTCAGAAGCAGATGGCCCTGAAGGCAGCACAAGAGCAGCCACGCTCCTTCACGAGCAATTAACCCTGTCAGGGCAGAAAGCCAGGCGGCAGGAAACCCAGGTTTCCTGGGTCTTCTACCTGGACATGCCTGGTCCCATCATGGTCAGTGCTTTTCTAAACAGCAGTACCGGGGAGGATTTGCCCTCTGATTCCCGAGGAGAAAGGAAAATTGTCTGCTTACCATTCCTTCCACTTTTTCGAGGGGAGGGAAGGCAGAGAACACGAGCATGTCTTTCACCTGGCAGTCCAGAGCAGCCATCCAGATCAGGGACAGCTGGGCTGCAAAGCTGGTACTTCCTTCGTTTCTCAGCAAGGAAGTACCTCAGCTGCAAGGACAGAGCCAGGCCCTGCTGTCCCACCTCATCTCGGGCAGCAGCTGGGTGAGGACTGTAAACCAAACACCCAGCCCCTTGGTGAACCTCCTCCTCCTGCCAGTGGGCTCCAATGCAAATGCCCAGCCAGGAAGGCACCTTCCTGCCTTTTGGGAGTTAAGAACTGAAGTCTTCCCTGGAACCGAGATTCCATCCTTCTTGTTACCTCCGATGTCACTGCTGTCAGTCACGTTTCCAGGCACGTCATTCTGCTCAGGCCTCAGGCAGGGAGTCCAGGCTCCCTCGGCACCATCTGTTACGGCTGCCACCAGCAGACAGGTATTGGAGTGGCCAAGCTGTAAAGCCCCGGCGCACCAATAGATGTCTGATTTGAAGCCCTTTTAAAGACACACCATCCAGAGCTGGTGCACACCCAGCGGTCAGACAAACCACGCTTCTTCAAGCCCGCCCTTTGTCTGAAGGAGGGCAAATGCTTTAATCACAGAGCAAGAAGGGGAAGTACTTATCACTGTCCCTAGGGCGGAATCCTCTCACCACAATTCAAGAAACCAAGCCACAAACCATTCACACTTGGAAAAAGGAGCAGGAAGAAAGAAAAACCCCAGTGCTATAAGGAGGTGGGTAGGGCTAGCAGTTATGAAGAACAGACAAATTTATCTTCATCTAAATTGATGTTTTCAGGTACAGAATTCAACTTTCAGCAAAATCTGCTGTCAGAATTACAGGCATGTTTAAAAGGAAAGTTCAGACATTTGCATTTCATGAGATATTCAAGTCACATTCAAAAGATGCTCACAGCAGAGGCTTTACCACCACAGTTTGGCACTTTCAGCTAGAACAGTTTCTTACTGCAGGTTTTCCCATTGCTCGCGCTAGTGCAGCATCCGACGGGCTGAAAGAACCGCTATCGTGCCTAGCTCCAACGCTAGGCTGCGGCGCGCATCAGGTGCTGCAGCAGCCGCCCTGGTTGCCGAGCATTCATGAGGAAATTAAACCAGCCCCCCCCCCCCCCCGCCAGAGAGATCAGCCCCCACTCCGTGTTTCAGGAAGCGCGGACTCCCAAGGACTGAGCGTCGAGCACTTCTCTTCTGCTCACCAGCCACACAGATAGCAAAACCTCTTGTTCCGAAGTCGGGATAAAAACACTGCCGGGAACAAGTTATGAATACATATTTACACAAAGTATTTTCATCAGAATTACAGACCTCATAGGAAATCAGCGTAGACAAAGGAGTATGTGCAATTTCGCGTAAGCGTTGAAAACATTCAAACTATAAATATCCCGAGAGCACTACTAAAATTCTTAGTTTTACACACAGGCTGATGTTACTCTACTGAGGAAAAACTAAGGTTCTGTGCCACAACTGTAAATTAAGTACAGTAACGTGTTATCATTCCGGCAACACAGAGAACACCTGCACTGAACAGTGCGATACTGTTAAATCAATCCACTGATCTGTTGAAGATCAAAGTACAAATCTGTATTTTTATTGATTTGGCAGCGTTGCTTATGGAGAAACAAATGCACTGGTTAAACCAGTACGTTGTCATACCGCTCCAGTTACAAAACCATCCAGGACTTTCGTAGAGCTACAAACGTATCGTACTTCATGATTTGCCCCCAGAGGGTGATATCCATGTGAAGTAAATAAGCAAAGATAATCAAGGTTGTATCCTTCATTCTGTTACACTGACAAACATACACCACCACTTAATAAATAGAAATGCAGCAGTTCATCCACATAATAGCAAATATTTTTGTACCCTAATCCACCACTGAAGTTCAGTTTGTACAAAACAGTCTTTTCTACAGAGTGGAAAAAAAATACCTTCTTCTCATCAAGGTGCAAGCTAAGCTTTGAAACTTAAATGAATGTGCTTTTATTCTTTTCATGGACAATAAAAGAGTTTCATGAACCTTCTGATCTGTCTGAAAACGCGTAAGTTTGGCCACGTACGGATGTCTTCATTGTTCAGGTTTAATGGACTGGTTTCAGTATCACTGACGTTGTGCTTTTACTCCTCCTGAACAATCCCCTTCCAAGAGTTATGGAGATCAAATTAACTCAACGATGACCTCAGAATTCTAGAAACACAAGTGTCCTCATTGTAATACAAGACCAACCTAAAGGAAGACGAAAAAGACAGTATTTTAGTTCAAGTATCACAAGAAATCCAAACGTTGCTACCTTTCTGCACCTCAATTATGGGTCTTAAATACAACCAATTAAAAAAAAAAGTTATTTAAAAACTTCTGCCCATTCTGCCCAGAGTAGGTTAATGTACCGCTATACCTCACAGAATTCACGAGCTTTTTTTTTCTCCCTTACCTTTTCAGATTCCATGCCAGGACACCTCCAGTTGTACAAATAATACTGCAAATTTCCATCTCCAATCCCAAACTTGAGTTTTTCCAGGAATGTTTTGTTTTCCATTAAGTCTAGTGCATTGAACACATCAAATCCTTTCTGGCAACAGCAAAACATTTTTTAAATTTTACTTTTTTCAGTTTCAAGTGACGCACAAACGATACTTTACAAAGTGGCACACAGCATCCAAGAGACTCGGCTAATTATGTGGAATAAAAGA